TCTCACTGTCAGGGCAGACGTCAAAGCGCGCGTGTATTAGGCCACGGAACAGCTGTCGTCTTCATAAACACGAGAGATGGGACAAGGCGTGGGTGACGGGTGTCGCTGCACGTGATGGTTGCACGCCTCCCGCCTCCGCACTATTTGTCCGAATCTGGAGCCGAGATGATTGGCCAGAGTGACAGGCCCAACCGGAGTGGCATCCCATCACTGACCTGGCCGTGACGGCTTCGTATGGTTCACGCCGAGACCCCGCCTCCGTCTCTCACCCGTGTTTCCAGTCCAACAGGTATGCCGGCACTTCTGCCGCATTCTAGTAGTTCGTCCTTTGCGTCCATGTACCTGCGTGAGAATCAGGTGACTTTTCTACTTGGTGCTTTCAGTAGAGACAATCCCAAGTACGTGCGGTTAAAGTCGTCACACACCATATATCAAGGACACGCGGTATAATTGGCGCAAAAAATAATTCCACTACCAATAGCAAAACAAACGCTTCAATGTGTGCTTGCTCATGCTATGTGACTTAAAGGGTATGCGCATCACTTCCACCATTGTCTTCTCCCACGAATTCATACTCTAAACAGTCTCCATTATCGCAGGCTCTTCCATGTCTCCACCAATATGATTAAATTTATGAACACTCTGAATTTTTTTGTCCGAAACAGGTGCCTCAATTGAACGGGTTACGGCGTAAGAATATCGTATTTACGAAGCGTAGCGGTCTGGTGCCTAAGCTAGACCTTCAATGCCCTGCGCAAGCCGGCTCTCCATGGCCTTCACGAGGACAGGCGGTACCGACTCGTCAGTGGCGCGAATAGTGATGCGGTACATCTACACGGGGTTAGTTTGATGCGCGTCTTTTGCCATAATCTCAACATACCTGAGTCTCAAAGTTCGGCTCCAGTCTCAGCAGACATCCGAACTTGCCCTCGCTTGAATGCAACACTGTAGCACCAACCACATTCTTCACATTGGGGTCTACACCAGAGACAATACCCCACTTGAAGCCCTTGACCACCTTTTGTACAAAGTCTGAGTTCATGGTTCTGTTCTTGTTAACGAGACCAAAGATACTCTGTGCTTCGCGGGGAGCACCGCCAATCTGCTTCCAGCGCTTGAAAAAATCCTCTGAGCTGAGTTCGGCACCCTCCATGTACTTGTGTAGGAGTACTGGAAGTTGGAGGGTCAGAGCTTGTAGAGCGCCTGCAAGGTAGGATATGCGGATGGTAGGTGGGTCGACGAAGACATTCTTGCATTCGAACATGATTGTTTGCTGGGTCTGGCCCTCGGGCGGGATCGTAGTATCTGGCAGACCCTTGATATCTGTCTTCAGGGTTTCCGAAGACCTATTGTCGAGCGTCGTGGTAAATGAGCCCATCGGGAACTGTGACTTGTTCGTAAAGTAGAAGATGAGAGCACCCAGTTGCCCTCTGTACTCCGTCCGCAAACCAACTTGTATTTGCTGATCTTCATACAACACTCCTTCAGGCCGGAGAAGGAGGCGGTTGTATCCAATTTCCCAGTCTGGACTCAAGTGAGCAGCGCTTGCAAGGTTCGGTGCTTTGGACGTGGTCATGTCAATGTTCAGGTCAAGACCCTCCAGGTCGCTCGAAATTGTAGCAACACCGTTTGAGCCATTCGCTGCACCAGTCCTGGCTTCTTTCGACAATGGCTCTGTGAGGCTTCTTTTGACACCAGCAGATGTATTCGACCTTGCAAGACCGAACTCTTTGAGGTCTGCATTCGCGTCCTTGCCACCGACGACCCATGTCCGCTTGTCGCTGGTAGTGGCGTGCTTCTGATGTAGTCGTGAAAGTAGGGCTGATGTTCGTTCTGGGTATGGAGGCATCTCGTCGCATACGGTTCGTAATAGGTTGTCTGTTGGCATCGTAGCAAGGGTAAGGTATTCGCATGCTCTTTGCTGAAGCTCCGAGTCGAGTGAGTGGCTGTAAGCGCGGAATGCTTGGAGAAGCTGTGGCTTGATCTCAGGGAACAAGTTGACATACTTGACATAGCACGAGAGAAGTATGGCTCTCGTGCTTGATGAGCAGCCTCGCATCTTTGCGCTCAGTGCCATGAATTGCTCGATCGGACTGCATCCTTTGTTGTCCGCAATCAAATGACCAAACTCTCCAAGCAAGTATCCTCCGATCTTTACAAGCGTTTCGTGACAGTCCGCCTTGATGTACTGTAGGATAGTCTGGGCGGCATACACCTGGAGTTCTTCGTTGTTGGTGGTGATTTGAATAACACGTTGCCACACTTCGTCACTGACGTGGTCTCCCGCCATTGCAATCAATCGTAACGATATATCGACGTACCACTGAACATCCGTAGCATACTTCTCGGTCAAAATTGCAATTTTGAGTACCATCTCTTCTCGTATAGCATAGTCGGCGGATTGCAGGTAGCGTAAGAGTTCGTTCACGATTGCCTGGGCATTTGTCGGGTCACACATGCTGTAGAGTAGATCCAGACCCTGTCTCCGTACGCTAATATCCCTGTCTCTTAGAGAGCCGATGATGATGGCCTGATGCTTCTTGATGGGGTCGAGGTTTTCTGATCGAGCAGCCAAATGCGTCATGGCTTCCAGTCCCAGATACCGCACGTTAGTCTCCCTAGAGGCGATGAATTTGCCTAGTCGCTGTGAAATCTGCACCATTAGATCTTGCTCTGTATCGAGGTGAATGACAAGGTTAATTGCTTCGAAAAGGACGGCATTCTGCGCATTGTTCTGTTGCACATTCTTTGGCATCTCGAGCGCCGAGTCCATGATCTTCTGAAGCGACTCATGAATGAGTGATCGAATATGCGAATCCTCTGCTTTGGTTAGTAAGAGTCCACTGCAGGTGACCAGAGGGTATACAGACCAGGAGGTGGGTAGTACTGCAATAGCTTGAGCAGCTTGACCAGGATCCAGGGACAAGGCACCTTGTAGTAGAAGTATCCCTCGGCACACTCATTGTCGACTACTATCCGTTTGAGCCTGTTCGCGGCCTTGACGTAGCTTCCCTTGTATTGTTCGGCGTTGTCTTGAACGAGTGCCGTGACTAGTGATGTGACGGAGAGTGCAACGCCCATGTCGGGGTCATCCATGAGCGATATTATTCGTTCGGCCCATTCGTGTTGCACGATTGCAGGGTGTTTCCGGTATAAACGCAGAAGTGTGAGGGCTGCCTTCTTCTTGACGAATGCTTTGGAAGCCCTATGCCGTGTCAGCCTTGTCGTGTGCTTCGTCCTATGGAACTTACGGTGAGATGAGGAGTCTGTGAACCTCCGCACTCAATGCCTCTCCCAGCTCCTTGCCACCCACGTTTGCAATCGCATGCAATGCCAGACAGTTGTTGAGCTCATTGTGATCCAACAGGTCCTTCCTAATACTGTTGACGACCAGGTGTAGGAGTTCGTGTTCTTCGTGTAAGAATAGAGTGACGGCGAGGTAACCAATCTGTTTTTCCGAGTATTTGGTCGCCGAGACAAGATTGACCGCTTCGAGATGTCCGAAATCGACGTTCCAACCGAGAATGTATATGTACAGGAGCTGCGACTGTCAGTAAGGATGGATGTGGTTGTGCCGCGGCTTATGTACCTTGCAGACGTATTTCTTCTTCTGGTAGCCGTTCAATCCGGCATCTGATGGAATTATTGTCAGACCAAAGCAAGCAGAAAACGCAGGTGGGTAGTACCTCTGAACTTTTGCCTGTAACGTTGTTAGCCATCCGATGTTGCTTAGAACGCGGCATCATGCACCCACCGTATGTTTGCCAATTCCTTGTTGATCCGCTTCTCCTCGAGCTCACGGGCGCGAGCATTTCTCAAGTCAGCGATAAACGACACGAGTCCTGCACACAATGAGTAAGCTGCGGTCGCTGGTGGTAATGGTGCTGGCGGGAAGTGCGCATACCTCGCATGGTAGGCACGTTGCCTGTCTGATCTCGACTGAACAGCCCTCCACCAGCCCTCGCCGCCATCTTGGAGGTGACCGAGGCCGCCATGCTGGTGGTAGTTGAGGTGGTGGTGGTGGGTGGGCGGTTCCCACCTGGTAGATAGCCCGACAATGCGGCGGTGTTGGTGCACTATGCTATGGGATGTAGCGGTACGGGCCTCAGAGCAGGGTTTATGCCGACGTGCGCTCTAAGGACCGGAGGCGGATAGTTCGCGAAAGGGGCGGCCGTCAGCAGAATGGAGAGCCGGACGACAGAATTAAGACGCAACCAAAAGTGAAAAAGAAAAGACGGGAATCACAGGGAAACACTGCGCATGCTGCTGCACGAGGCTATACAGTCAAATGCGTCCACGCACTCGTGTCGGCGAAGTGGATGGTTGGATGCTCTACCCATGAGGTGCCAAGACGGACAGGGTTCTCGTGTGCGTCGCTGGTTCCACACGGTGCAAGGAGACTGCGACTCTGACTAGCACCCGACATGGCGACCACGAGGGGAGGACATGCACCATGTTGCCACCTGCTCTCTGCTAGTGATGGACGATGAAATTTCCTGGAAAAAAGAAGCGCTGACCATGTATCCAACCGCACGCACACCGAGTTCCTTCAGCCTCGATCGCTACCCTACCGACACTGCCATGTGTTTGACATGAATAGGCCAGGTTGAGCATATGCGCAAGACGCGTCCCGTACACTTTCCCAGAAACAGCAATGGAGACTCTGGTAGCTGCTGCGAACATTCTAGTACCATGCATATACTATGCAGGAAGGAAGACGTCATCTTGCGATTGTTAGTCAGATACATTGAAGATCAAACTTAGTAGTACACGACACGCGCTTTACACGGACGGGTGAAGGTGTCAAGAAAACTTTGATTAACATTTGGCACTTTCGATCATCTCATCAATCGTAAGCGTCCTCGTAAGTTCGATCCAAGCCAGGCACAGTCGCCATCCCACGCCTCGTAAACACTCAATAAACGCCGGGAACTCCCTTCCGTATGCCACCCTCTCCACGCTTCAAATGCATCTACAACTCTTTCATCGCACCAATACATTTATTTCTTGGTGGTGAAGTCGGTCTCGAGGTTTGACGAGCCGTTGTTCTCAGAGCGGCTGCAGTTGCAGGCATCTAAAAATGTATTGTTAGAACAGCTCAACATTGACAAGACTAGCAGCAACGGATTTCTTACCCTCAGCGCGCTTTCCGCAGGCACATGTTGAAGAGGGAAGCTTGTTCTCGGTGGCAGCCTTTTCGCAAGCTGAAATATGTTAGTATTGATATTCGTGTGGTGGAGATAGAATACATACTGCACTGGAGCGCGGGCTGCTTTCCGCAAGAGCACTTAGCCTCCTGGGCGCACACGCAGGTGCCATTGTTACGTCCGCAGCAGACCATTTTGAAATGTGAGGATTGGTAGAGTTGATTTGGTGGACGAGTGAAGGTGATTGATTCTTGGAGTCGAATGTCGTAGACTTGAAGAGCTGAATGCACTGGATGGCAGTGAGAAGCAGGTTCCAGGCTCTTCTTTATACCCGTCACTCTACCTACCTCCGACAGCTACGTCGTTGACATGGACCCTGGATTCGTAGAGGTGGAGTCGCGTGAGTGGCGGCCCCAGCCAATCAGAACCCACTTGATTACGCCTATGTCACCTGTTCTGACTATCAATGCTACGCTGATTATGCACCGCCTTTCAAACGCGCCCTATTTGCTGTAGATTTTCCAATTTATCTGATCGATAGCCATGTCTTGCAGGTCCAGACTTACTCCATGAGTATGTGCATATACATTTGTTCTCATAGGCCAAACATGACGAGTCCGCTCATTTCCTCACTTGGCATTGTGGCAGATGATCTTGAACAAGTGGAGAGTGCATCATTAAAAACTAGTATGTACATACAAAACATTCAAGCATAACCATCATGAAGTCGGCATCGTGTTGCTGCGTTTCATCCCTTTCCCCTTTAGCCGTTCCCGAGCTGGCAATTCCTTGACCACTGTCTTTGGCGAGATCTCCTCAAATTCTCCAATCGCATCCCGCACCCTCACCGGTGTCCGTGGTCGTTCGTCTGTCAGCTCTCCGACAAATGTGGAGCCCCTCGGTCTTGCAGACACCCCTCTTGGAGACTCTGTAGCCCTTCTTGCCAACTCCCTGACTCGTCCTGGCGAGTCTCTCGAAGGACTACTTAGCACGCTCGTGTCACCCGAAGTTCTTCGTATCGAATTATCCCGCTGATGCTTTGACAGTGACTGCCTAATGCGCGAGTATTGCGTCCATTTGGTCAGCCTGGAAGTCCTTAGTACCTCCCCAACGGCTTCTTGGAGTTCTCTTACCGCATTGTTCTGCAGCGCCTGGAGCAGCACAATCGCGTTCTGGTGGTCTCTACTGGCCGTTGAGGGGTTTTGCTGCGCAAGACCCTCTTCTGTTGCATTTGCATGCTCTTTGATAATCTCAAGAAGTCCACTATCTTCCTTGATCTCGTCAGCGATGGCAGCGGCACCCTCCAGCGTCTGCGCCAGCAAGCCTAGACCAAGTAATCCTTCAGATCTGGCTTCGGGGTAAAAGCGTTGACGGACGAGCTGGGCGATGGGACGTGCGATCTGGGGCACCTGTAAAATCTGTATTTGTACTGCTTCGACATCCTTTTCTGCATTTGGTCGTCCGAGGTAGCGCAACATGGCGACAATGGTGCGGCCAAGCTCAATCATGGGATTCTTCATCGTAGTGCTGGGAAGTGGTTTGGATGCAACGAGAGCCTGTTCGACAATGTGTGAGAATATTACAGTGTCCGCTGAGACATCTGCATCAGATGCTTCCGTGTCAGGTCCGACTGTCTCATACATGACTTTCTCAATGTTGTAAAAGTTGCCGGTAACGAGCTTACACAGTATGGCCGCAGCCTCACCCCGAACAGAAGGATCTTCCAGTACGAGCATGCGACAGCATGCTTCCATCAGCCCAGCATCTGCAAGCAAAGCCCTATTAGCTTCTGGAAAAGTGAGATGTCGCATGATACCCGCCGCAGCGTACAAGAGGGCGGGCTTATCGCTCTTCTTCATAATTGTAATCAGGCGAACATGGAGCTCCATGATCTTAACCATGTCGATGCAAACTTCGTCAGACATGGCCAAGTTGCCCATCATGACACAAGCGCATATCGTAGAAGGCTGTGCGCTCTCCCACGGTGCTCGTAACTTGGCCTCCATTCTTTCGATGACTGGACTTCTAATGTTGAAGTTTTGTGAAAAGATATCGCTTGCTGAGGCGGCAGACAACATGCCAATCAGCTGAGCCATGAGGAGAACCTGTGCTTCGTCTGATGAAGTGCTGTCTGCGTTTTTGCTTGTTGCGAGCTCCTCGAACACAGCCTTGATCTCCTCTGGCTGGAGCCGCGCCTCGAACTCCAACATGAGAGTAACAAGGTCGTCGAGAAGCTTTGGTGTTGCTATTCTCTGCTGAAACTCTGGATCCTGGAGGTAATGTACTAGAATGGCGATGTACTCAAGGTAATGATCTTCATCAAACTGGAGTGCTACATTTAGTAAGCTCTTGAACGTCTCGAGGGATACTTCATCCTTGAACTGAGCGTCGTTCAGGTTACTCGTAGTCCAGCTGAGTAGATCTGTAGCGTAGTCGAGTGCTGCCTCTGGTATCCTGTCGAGAACAAGGAAGGTGGTTATCGTGGCATCCAGTCTCAGTGTAGCCGCTGCGGCTTTGGCAGGATCTGTCTGCATGAGCTGCGTGTTCGGAGCGGCTTCCAATCCTGCTCACCAAAGTCGTTGCAAAGATTGAAAAGTACGGCCAGTGTAGTCAAGCGTAGTTCTGCTGACTGGAGATAGCTAATGATGGCCTGTATGTCTCTCACCGCGAGCTCTCTGTTGGTATCTTGGTTCTAGTCAGACTCTCTGTATTGTAGAAGGCTCCACTCCAGGATACAGTACCATTATCGGCCACAGAATTACCGATGACTCTCAAGCATTGCTTTGCTATAAGCTCATCGTCGCGGGCAGCGGTCAAACCCCGCAGCGCAAATGCAAGAAGGCCGCTGTCCCTGAACGGAGCCTGCCATCTCTCTGTGACTGGTTAGTAGAGCGCAGTTCATAGGACTGCAAAACATACTGCGGCCTCCAACGGCGGTTCCAAAGAGTTGTAGCGTCTTCTCTATGGGTACACGGTCCCCACTTGTTGCAAACGCAGCGAGCTTATGCACGTAGTCCGTGAGAGCAGCGGTCTGGCCTGCAGGGTTCCCTTGGAGTAGGCGCTCTAAGGACGCTACGTGTTCGCCAAGCTCCTCATTGGATAGTGGCATATCGGAAAGTTGGGGGGAGGATGGAGAAGTGCAATTGCCGCAAAAGTCGTGACAATGGGCAGGTCAGGTCAGGTGTGCATGGTGGCGGCTGCGCAGCGGGAAAGATAGCAAATGGTTTTTAGTTGCCCCGGTATTCCCGTCCAAGCAACAGCTGCAGAGTAGGATTTGTCAGGCGCAACAGCAGAAAAAAGCTGCAATTATTGGTTTCAGCCACTTGTTTTTCAATACGCGCAAGGCTGGCGAGTTCCCACGGCGTTCTCGACCCACCGGCCGCTTAGCCTTGCCTCCGTTCGGCTCCGCTGGCCCCCCTGGGAAAGATCCCTTGGCGACAGTTGAGCGATCTGGCACTCAACACTCAACACCGGACGACCACGACGACGTTGACTATCTCGCGCCCATAATTTTGCTGACCAAAGACTTTCGTTGAAAACAATTCTACCTTCAATACCGCCACCATGACGCGCGCTCAGCAGACCATCAGCATTGCGATGCTCCTTACTTCTGTGCGACAGCCCCTTAGCCGTGGCATTCAATTCAAGATGGTGTTCTAACATGTGCTGCACAGGTATACCTTGCCCTGTTCCTCCAGGTCGTTCCCCTGCCCCAAAAGGTCCAGGAAGAGATTATACCATATGTAGGCTTTCCCTCCTCATCTGTCAATGCCTGGCTGACCTCAAGATAGATTCCCTTCTGGGCTCTCATCTCCTTTGGCGCCTACCTCCTCTTCAGCCTGGGCTGGGGTGTCTTTACCTTCAACGATGTACCGGAAGCGCACGCCGAACTCATGCAGCAAATAGCAGAGGCACGCAAAGACCTTAGCGCAAAGGGCGTGGATGTTGGCGAGGATTAGATGTGACAGGTGTAATGGGAACTGCATAATTGGGCGTTGGTAAGGATCTGCGGCAAGAGGTGGAACACATGTATTGTATGGTTATTTGAAAGTTTCTGGCGAGATAGGCAGCTATGCAAAACAAGACAACCCTCCAGGCTTTGGTGGACAGTGATGCTCAAGCAGTTGAGGCCGCCTCTGCCTTCTTCTGCGCCTGTTTCAGCTTCTTTTCTGTCTTCATAAATTCCCGAATGCCCACGGGTATGTCTTCAAACAGCTTTTCCTTGTCGGTGTCATCCAGGCCACCGTCCCAATTGGTCTCGCTACCACCCCCGTCATCATCCATACTCGTGGCAACATGGTTCGGCGTCGAGTCCCCAGCCACCATGCTTCCAGTCCCTTTACCTTCCTGCCGCTGAGCCTGTAGTGCGGCTCTCGCCTGAGCCTGCTTCTCTGCCCATTCCTCCATCTCATCTCGATACATGTCCCATACACAGTTCACACAACCAGACATGCAGCAGTTGTCTGGTTCCTCGGGGCGCGGAGGGACCAGAACACCGGCAATGTTTTGTGAGGATTTCAGAATCTCTTGCTTGCGTTCTTCGAGCGCAGTCGTGGATCCGAAGATGATACGTGCTTTTGCGAATGTTTCCTCCTTCGTTGTACGTGGTTGTTCCTTCGGGGGCTCGGGAGTAGTATGAGACAAAGATTGGACTTGAGAGAGGGGCTTCTTTAGCATGTCTACAAGCCATTAGCACAAGCATTTTGACTCCATGCGAGTGAGATCTAACCCTCGTAGAAGCCGGTGATGGGCCTGGCCTGCTCTCCCTCTGGCGCTATATAGCCTTTGAATCTACACTGTATCCGATTGCTGTTCTGTAACCCCATCTGTTCAGCCTCTGTTGAAGCACGCGACCTGCGCCATGACTTCAAGCAAGAAGCGCACAATCTTTGGCGCATAGCCTTTGATGCTGCCTGCGCGATATGCTCCATTTTACCAAAGGAACAACTACGACTCAGCAGTGCAAAGTGATTGAAATATCCTGACTACAACATGCCGAGACTGCCGGTTTACGAATTGTGGAGTTTTGAGCTTGACTGGTATCAGCGAAGAGTTCGACGTCATTTTGCGTCGCATTTCCAACCGTCGGCAAAAGCTGCAGCGAACGCCGACAGGGTCACAACACGCGCCGACGCGTCGCATTCACTCTCGTCGCAAAGCCCTGCCGAGCACGTATACTAGAACGATAATACATTCCTAACACGAAACCGATTCTTACTACGCGCCAAATTCACATGCTTGCCCATCCGGTCGTATACACACATTGAATGTCATGAGCGAGCCATCGTCCAAGCGGAGGAGGACCCACTCTCCCGATGACCGCGCATCAAGTCCACTAAGACAACCTCCACGCCGACCGTCGTTTGCGTCCCCTACCAAAGCCAGCCTTGCGGGGACCTATCCGAATCTCCGACCTTTTACATCAACCCCTCGTCTTAGCGCATCTCCCAGACGCAGAGCTCATGGAGATGTATCAGCCAAGGGAAGACAAGCGCGTGCTGCCGAGGACGCTCAAGAGGCCAGTGAAGAATCAGACCTACCGAACACACCATCCCAAAGAACTTTCGAAGGATCAAATCAACCGCCTCGAGGTATCCTGTTTTCCTCGCCAAGCAAACGACCTCCACGTGCAAAGAATGGCTTCAAACCATCGCCATTGAAACCGAAAGCACCTGCAGTTCAATCAGATGACGGTACTAGGGCTGTGGAGGATGGTCCAGTAGAGGAAAACACACGCAAAGTTGTAGAACAGCAGCCTCTTGATCCGGAGGTAGAGCGGAGAAAACAGGAAAAGGCACGGCTACAGCGTGAAGTGGAGAAACTTGAGTCTCAAGTCTCGAGATGTATGGACGAGATTGAAAAGGAGCAACGGCGAGGCCCAGATGAGACATTACAACCCCAAGAACGTGAAAGTCTACGGTAAGCTTAGAAAGTGACACTTTCGGATCAGTGACTGACCTCAAGCCAGTAACTTCATTACCGAAATCAGCGGAGCAGACACAGAACCGGAGAAGCCAAAAGTATCCAGTCTACTCTGCTCATTCCTTCCATTTGCCGCCATGCCCGCTCCTCCGCCGCGCTCAAAGCAATCAGACAAGCCCGTTCCTTCCCATCGGCCAGTAGAACTAGCAGATCCTCTACCCTACCTAGAAATGTTCACCTCCTTCAAATTCTCAACCCGACTCAGCCTCCCCCGAAGCAAAACCGCCTCATCCGCCAGAAGAAGCCACCAAACCCACACAATCGACATCACCGGCCCCCAGAAGCTCCTCACAGCCCAAATCTCCCTAACAATCGACGCCCTAGCACCCGAAATAACAAAGTTGCAGCTCATCCGTCTGTCCCCATGGGCAGAACACGAACTCGGCACCTTCATCCGCTCCCGCGCCCAACAAAAAGACCTCAGCAACGCCTCCTGGGCCATAAACTCGTACTGGACTCTCGCCCAGAAACGCGCTCACTACTGGCATAGAGTTGAAACAAGTTTCCCCCACCTTCTCACTGGCCGCTCGGAAAAAGACACGGAGAATGCGTCATCACAGGCTCATTCCAAGTCTTCTAAATCTCTTTCAAGAAAGGAACTGAATCGCCATCTCAGTCGTGATACGCTTGTGCTACAAGATGCACATGTCGTGCTTAAGCTTAGTTGGCGCATTGGATTTGATTGGACGGGTGAGGCTGAGTCGCATGTCGTTGTTGAACCGGCGTTTCCTCGCGTTTGTAAGTTCAGACTTGATGAAAATGGGATCGAAGAGAATTTTAAGAGACTAACGAGATGATGTAGGGTCGGAGACGGATACAGCGGATAGCTTGAAGAAGGTGCCTGAGACGTTTGATTCGTTGATGCGGGGGAGGGGGGTGTTTGAGGCGACGAGGATTATTGTTGCTTTGTTGTTTGCGCAGTAGGGATTGGATGTTATGATATAGGAACTGAGGTGTTTTGGGGGTAGAGGAAATGAATATACCCTTTTGTGATGTTGACATGCTTCAGTGTCATCAAAATGAACCAACCCGATATACCAAAAAAAACGCATTCACATTCAAGCACGTTAACTCTTCTCCCCCGCAACCTCCTCCTTAACAACGGCATCCTTCTTCGGCGGCCTTTCGCCAAAAATCTCACTCCCCACCCTCACCTCATCACTCCCCATTCGAATGGCGCCCTCAAAATCCGCACTCATCCCCATACTCAGCTCCAACTTTTCCTTGTCCCACCCCAGTGCCTCAGCAACCCTATCCCTCGTCTCCCTCAGTGCCACAAAATCCTCATTCTCATTCTCCTCCGTCATAGCCTTACTCCGCGCAATCGCACCAATCGTCATGAACCCCGCTAGTTGCAAGTGCGGACACTTTTCCACCACATGTCTGCACAGCACGAGCGCATCCTTTGGCTCAACACCTGATTTACTATCTTCACCGGATGTATTAACTTGCACCATAATCCTCAGTTTACTCGCTTCACCATCTTTTTCCAAGAGGGCTTTACGTCCTTTTTCGAGTTCATTCGCCTTCTTCTCGGTGTCGACACTACTAACGCACCAGAGATTTGGGATTTGCTCGGCGAGGTGCTTGCATTTGTTTGATTGGAGACCGCCGATCATGTGCCAGTGGATGGAGCGGGGCAGGAGTTTGGCTTTTTCGAGCAGTTCTTGGACGTAGTTTTCGCCAAAGTGGGTTTGGAGAGGGTTGGGGGGTTGGTGGAGGGCGAGGATGTCGTTGGCGGGTTTGAGCTTGGAGACGGCGATTAGACGCACCTGGTGGGACGTTTTGTTAACTTGTGTGAAAGAAGGATGCGGAGGGGTGGTACGTACTGGTTTGCTGCCTTTACTCGCGGCATTGATGCGCGCGGTTATGCTGGCAATGTTTTCGGATAGCTGCTTTGCGCGTTGTGGGTTGATTTGCATGTTTTCGGCCATTGTTGATGCAGGTCTGATGTTCGTGTGGAAGACGTTCGACGTACATGGATGAAGACGTCAGTTCGGCGTTAAGCAGGGCATTATCTCCGGTTAGCGCTACTAAAGCACTGTTCTAGTAAACAGCTCGCGTGAGCATTTCCTTGTGTTGTTTGTCTGTAAGAAATGTTTTTGAGCTAAGAGTATTGGATACATTATGTCAAATCGAGATTGCCTAGTCCAGTATCCTGATAATAATGCGTATTGGAGCTACATACCAGTCTTTCAAGCTTAATAATACCGAATCTATGCTGGCAAATGCTGCCGGACCAGAAACTCTTCAAAAAAAGGCACCGTTCAGGCTTACTAGCAGTACAGTCTGTTCATCAAAAGAATTTTCAAATGTGTTAAATGTACCTTTGACTGGAGTGGGAAGCAACTTCATAGCAAGCAAGCCTGTCATTACTAAACACGAGTAGTAAATGTCTAGAGCGAAGAAGCAGACTTAGGGGCCCTCGGGATGTAGTAGATCGCATTATGTAAGAGAAAGGTTCTTGGGGTATATACCAACTCCTTTTGTGACTGGTGAATGACAATACAAACGAGTTTGAGATGTTGAGATGGGCCAAAAGTTTGGGTATTATTTCTGTCCGCGTGAAACGGTCGTCATGTGTCATTGGAAGTCTTTGACAGCCGTGTAATGATGGTACGTTTGGCTCAGACTTTATCGCTTCGCTGACACTCATACCAAATCTGTGTGAATGGGTCATTCCGATGTAATATGCCTCAGCCAGTTGACGTATGGGGGAGTACAAGCATCATGTGAGACCTGTAGGCACAGATGAAGTCGAATGCTAACCTGCTGTTTTTGGAACAAGAATATGTAGTATAATTTCAAACTGTAGATATGCAGCGTAGGTTGAGTAGTTCTGGTGTCGTTCCAGTTCCTCAGTCGAGGCATCCGGATATTGTACCCGGAAGCATCATGTGATGTTCACCGTCGATCCCTCCGCGGATCATGAATGTGACCGAAATTAACACCACACCGTCCATGTACAAACCTTTTAGTTGCCGACAGAGATTGAGCAAATTTCATTGATAACAATAAGACGAATGAGAAGATACGTATGGAATTTACCAAGATGGAGTACCAGAAACCAATGCCGCGCACACGCGGGCGGCTATCGAGCGTATGAGAGGAAGGTGGTACCGGGTGAAGCACAGAGAGGGAGCATGGGTCAAGGAACAGGCAGCCGGCTTGTCGCCCCACCTGCAAGGTAAAGGCAACCCGCAAAAACGGTCACTGTGGCCTTGTATTAAGCCCCCCATGTGACACGCGCTACTTGGTACAATCTGTTATACTAATGAAATGGGGCGTAAACGTCTGTTTGGAGACTAAGACTCCGCAGCTAAGCCACCTAGTAACTTGAGGAATCTCGAAGTAATCTTTGGCATATTGCTTTATATAGCCAAGGCTCCATCTGTCCAATCCCGGATTTATCCAGAGTTACAGGGTATGGTATTACAGGTCCGAAACCTAGTAATAAATGTGCATGTACTGCCGAAGGACGGATCCTGTTGTGTGCTTCTTGGGAATTAAAAGATGACCGCGCCGTAATGTGACCATGTTCTGGCACCATTGTCCTTCTTTTCCACTTGTTGTGATACCTAGTCGACGATGAAATATCTTCTTTTCACAGTAGCGGCAGCGGCAGCAGCAACAGCGCAAGACGCGCTCAGATCGCGACCGCCTCGTCCAGATGCACAAGGACGATACACGCTTGAGGCTGAAGGGATCAAGGCGCAATTCATCCCTTATGCTGCCACCCTCACCAACCTCTGGGTCAAAGGTGGGCACTCGTTGACATGAGCAAGTGCAGCTACTAACGGAAACACAGATTCAAAGGGCAAATACCAGGACATTGTCCTAGGCT